ACCACAATGGAATGAAGTCATAAATTAATAATAGAAGTAAAACTACAAAATTCACAAATTTGTGGAAATTAAACAACACACTCTTAAAAAACGAATGAATCAAAAAAAAAAAAAAAGAAAGAAAAAGGAAAATTTTAAAATACTTAGAGACAAATGAAAATAAAAACACAAAACACCAAAACTTATGGGGATTGAGTGAAAGCAGTGCTAAGAGGAAAATTTATAGCTATAAACAATTACATTAAGGCCGGCCTGTGGCTCACTTGGTAGAGTGCGGTGCTGATAACACCAAGGCCACAGGTTCGGATCCTATATAGGGATGGCCAGTTGGCTCACTGGCTGAGCGTGGTGCTGACAACACCAAGCCAAGGGTTGAGATCCCCTTACTCGTCATCTTTAAAAAAAAAAAAAAAAAAACATTAAAAAACAAAAAAGGGGGGCCGAGCCCGTGGCGCACTCGGGAGTGCGGCGCTGGGAGCGCAGCAGCGCTCCCGCCACGGGTTCGGATCCTATATAGGGATGGCTGGTGTGATGCGCTCACTTGCTGAGCACGGTGAGGCCGGTCACAAAAAAAAAAAAAAAGAGCTGTTCAGATAGCTTAGTTAGTTAGAGCACTGACCAATTGCCAAAAAAAGAAAAAGAAGATGTCAAATTAACAACCTAATTTTACAACTTAAGGAACTAGAAAAAGAACAAACTAAACCCAAAGCTAGAAGAAGGAAGGAAATAATAAAGATTAGACAGAAATTAATGAAATAGAGAATAGAAAAACAATAGGGAAAAATTAACAAAACCAAAAGTTGGTTCTTTGGAAAGATCAACCAAATTGACAAGTCTTAGTCAGACAGAATACGAAAAAGAGAAAAGACTCAGATTACCAAAATCAGAAATTAAAACAGGGCATTACTACCAATTCTACAGAAAGTTGGTTCTTTGGAAAGATCAACCAAATTGACAAGTCTTAGTCAGACAGAATACGAAAAGGAGAAAAGACTCAGATTACCAAAATCAGAAATTAAAACAGGGCATTACTACCAATTCTACAGAAAAAAAAAAGGATTATAAGAGAATATTGTAACAATGTATGCCAACAGATTGGATAATCTAGATGAAATGGACAAATTCCTAGAAATGCAAAACCTACCAAGACTTAATCATGAAGAAATTGAAAACTAGTAAGGAGATTGAATCAGTAATCAAAAATCTCTTGACAAGCCCTGGGTCTGACAGCTTCCAGGATGAACTCTACCAAACATTTAAAGAACACCAATCTTTTTCAAACTTTTCCAAAAAACTGAGGAGGAAGGAATACCTCCCAACTCATTCTATGAGATCAGCATTACCCTGACACCAAAGCCAGATGAAAACACTACAAGAAAAAAACAAACAAACAAACAAACAACTATATACCAATATCCCTATGAACATTGATGCAAAAATTCTCAACAAAATACTAGCAAAACAAATTCAGCAGGATTATACACCGTGACCAACTGGAATTTAATCCTGGAATGCAAGTGTATTAGCCCATTTCTGTTCCTCATAATAAATTACACAGAACTGGGTATTTTGTAAAGAAAATGAAATTTATTGCTTACAGTTCCTGAGGCTAGGAAGTCCAAAGTCCAGGGAACACATCTGGTAAAGGCTTTCTTTGATGGTGACTTTAGTGATGGCAGAGTATCACATTGCGAAAATGATGGAAGAGAGAGAGCAAGAGAGATACAGACTCTCCTTTCTCTTCTTTTAAAGCCCTCTGAACCATGTTTTGAATCTGTTCACTATGGCATGGTCCTACAATCTAATCACCTTTTCACAGCTACACCTTTCAATTACCATAACAAGATTTCCCATCCTCTTAACAGTCACAGTGGGGGCCAAGTTTTCTAACACATAAAATCTGGGGGACACAATTCAAGCTTCAGTGAGTTTGGGGGGAGACATAATTCAATCCACTAAAATAAGGATGGTTCATCATACAAAAATCAATGCAATACACCACATTAGCAGAATGAAGGGAGAAAATACATGACCATCTCAGTTGATGCAGAAAAGGCATTTGACAAAATTCAACACTCGTTCATGACAAAAACACTCAACAAAGTAGGAAAGAAGGAAACTACCTCAACATAATAAAAAAGCCATATGTGAAAAACCCACAGCAAACATCTTACTCTATGGTGAAAGACTGAAAGCATTCCTTTCTAAGACCAGGAATAAGACAAGGATGCCCACTTTTGCTACTTCTATTTAACACAGTAGTAGAAGTTCTAGCCAGAGAAATTAGGAAAGAAAAAGAAACAAATGGCATCCAAATTGGAAAGGAAAAAGTAAAATTATCTCTGTTTGCAAATGATGTGATCTTATACATAGAAAACCCTAAAGATTTCACACACACACACACAAAAAAAACCTGTTAGGGCTAATAAATGCATTCAGCAAAGTAGCAGGATACAAAGTCAACACACAAAAATCAATTGCATTTCTACACAAAAACAATGGACAATTGAAAAGAAAATTATAAAAACAATTCCATTTACAATAGCATCAAAAATAACAATACTAAAGAATTAACTAACCAAGGAAGTGAAAGACTTGTACAATGAAAACTATAAAACACTACTGAAATAAGTTAAAGAAGACATAAATAAATGGGCCCATCTCTGGAGATGCAAGAAAAGCAGGGAGCTCGTGAGAGGAGATCATGTATCTCTGCCCCAGCCACATGTGGGGACAGGTTGGCCCCAAAAAAGAAAGTGGTGGTGGGAGATTTCAAGGGAGATGTCAGCAGGCTGCACTCCCAGGGCCTGTAGACAAGAGGAAGGGACCATCCAGGGAGCCAGCCTACAGCAGGGCAAGCCTCAGCAGAAGCAGATACAAGAGCACAGAAGGCAGGAGATGAGGCCACTCCATTTTCTCAGGGAAGAATAAGGTCCAGAAACCTGGCTTTCCTCCTCCTTGCCGGGGGTACTCCAGGAGAGCCAGGCAGACCCTATTCTTGCCCTGGCCCCATGGAGAAGTGATAAGCAGAAGAGGGGAGATGGGCCAGAGAACAGAGGCCTTAAGTGAGTGATCAGTTCACGGTCTAGTCAAGGTTGCCAGCCTTCAGTGTATGCCAAGTCCCCCTTTGGCAAGTTTCTCCCTAAAGGTCCCCAACTCGTCATCATTCCTCTCAGGGTCCTATCCATCCCCCCAGGCTCCCCCTGTCAGCAGGCTCCCCACCTCCCCATGACTGCCTTGAGACTTAAGATCAATAGTGAAGACATTTGCCATAACCTGGGAATGGGGCGAGACTGTTAGTGACAAAAAAGTCCTCAAGTCCCAAAGTTACCACTCCCTGTGGTTCAGCCACCCTCACAGTGAAAGGCTAACTCTTCAAATCAACTGGCTTCCCACTTGAGTGGGCCCTCCCAAGGAGCTGTAGAGGGGGCTGAGGAAAGGCAGGAGGATGGAAAAAGTGAAGAGAAAGGAAACTAAAGGGTGAGAGAGAAAGAGAACAGACCTAACAGGTGCAACCACAGGAGTGTGACATTTCACAAGCAGTGTGGAAACAACTGCAAAGCTCTTGAATGAAAAACGTCCTGGAGAAATAAGTCACCTCGCATCTCAGTTGCTGGGGAAAGGGTGGGGGAGGTTGCCTGACCCATGTGTCGCAGGACTCAAAGAAAGTCCAGCTGTTTCCAATCTCCCCACATCAGTCTTTCCAGGAGAATGGCAGAAACAGGAAAGAGATGACTCACATAGGAATCTACCTTCAATCCCAAGTGCCCAAAGCCAGGGGAGGAGATGTCCCAGGTGCTCCAGGACAACAGTGATAACACAGCCAGAGGTGGGAAGGGAAGGATAAAGGCGGCACTAGGGTGAGGGTGAGGGGAGCAAGAGTCTGAGAGGGAAGGCCAGACGGGCAGTGGGCAGCACCCATATTGCAAGCTGACAAAGGAGTTCATATGCAATCGCCTGGCACAGTGTGACAGAGAAGAGACATAGGTCTTAGTCCCTTGTTTGCAACTCTGAAAAATTCTGTAGCAAACTCTTTTGGCCATAAAACCAGACCTCAATTGATACAAAATTATAGTCAACATTCATCCCACTTAGCATAAATATTCAATAGTTTTGCTGCAGAAATGTTGTGTTTGACTATGAGTGCTACCCCAGCTCCATGAGGGTGTTTTATGGTGAAAATCTGAATAATTCTGAATTCCAAAATTTATCTGACCTCAAAAGTTTCGGTCTGGCCCGTGGCTCACTCGGGAGAGTGTGGTGCTGATAACACCAAGGCCCCGGGTTCAGATCCCTATATAGGGATGGCCAGTTTGCTCACTGGCTGAGCGTGGTGCTGACAACACCAAGTCAAGGGTTAAGATCCCCTTACCGGTCATCTTTTAAAAAAAAAAAAAAAAAGGTTCACATAAAAGTTTGTGGACCTGACTCAATTCTGGTTCCTCTTCCTTCTTTAAAGTAGATATCTCTGTGAAAGAAGGGATGGGGGTCTGAGAGAGGGGGACATGTGAATTAGCTTGTAAACTGTGGACGGGGTAATGTGGGCATCTGTGTGTACAAGTGCATGAAGAGGGAGGCAGGTGACCGTGTGCTGCATATCCTCTTCTGTAAAAGAAGCCAGCACAGGTGGGTTAAATGCTCCATGAGCACGAGAGAGACAGAAACCAAGGAGAGGCTCCTGTGTTGGAAGAGACATCTTTGAAGAGCAGCAAGTCTTCTGACAGAGATTGCCCTTTAAAACTCACCCCAGCGTGCAGAAGAGGGGAAGGGGGTGGAGGTTGCTGCTATGAGAAAAAAAAAAAAAAAAAAAAGCCACAGTAGAGCTTCAACTGCCATCAAAGCTCAGTCGGCTTGCCACCTGAACAGGCCAGCTCAGAGAGGAACTGCAGCCTCTGCCCAGGAGGAGCAAGGAAGAGGCACCAGTGCCCAGCTGGGAGGTGCCAGCTGCAGAGGCCAGTGGTCATCAGCTGAAGCCCAAAAGAGATCCCTGGGCAGGAGCCATGGCATGGCCACCTCCCTGCTGGCTGTGCATTCTGGGGATGCTGGCGGGGCTCTCAGCTACGCCAGCCCCCAAGAACTGTCCACAGAAGCACTACTGGGCCGAGGCAGGACTGTGCTGCCCAATGTGTGAGCCAGGTAAGAGAGAGAGCCTTGGCAGGGGTCAAGTGAGTGGAGAGAAGACTGGGTTTAAGGTAAAGGGAGGCACAGGCGAGACTGAGCTAAGTGAGCAGAGGAATCCTGCTGTAGCAGGAGGTGCCACCTTGAAGAGGATGGAGAGTCAACCTTCCTTGGATCTTGATTCTGGACCCTCTGCTCACAGGAACGTTCCTCGTGAAGGACTGCGACCAGCACAGTAAGACTGCTCAGTGTGATCTGTGTACGCCAGGGATCTCCTTCTCTCCAGATCACCACACCCGGCGCCATTGTGAGAGCTGTCGGCACTGTAACTTTGGTGAGATGGGCAAGGGTGTGCGGGGGTGACACTGAGGAAGCATTTGGGGGAGGAAGGCTGGCAGAGCTGGGTCTGGAGAAGCAAGGAGGATGGGGAGTCAGACTTCAAGACTCATGACAAGCAAAGCCGATGCTGGGAAATAGAACGCCTTGGTCAGGGCACGTATTGTGGGGAGAAATCTAGTGTTTCTCGGAAGGGGTAAGCAGATTTGAGGGATTGGTGAGAATGGATCTAAAGATAGGATCAAGATGAAAAAAAGAGGGAAGTGGCTTTTGGACCCCAGATTTCAGATCAAGCAATCCCCAGCTAATGAACTGGCTGTATTTCCAGAGTGTACATTTGTAGGTTGGTATCTGGAATTTGGAATACATCTTTCTAAGGAAATAACAATATAAGCCAGTAGGTAACAATCCTTTTTTGCACAAAAACCAATTTGGAAAAATAAGTATGTACATGGCCTGTGTTTTTCTTATGTATTTTTAATTCCATCTTTTCTAAAACTAAGAAGTATAATATCTATAGCTGTGCTTATGAATTCTATTATTATTTCTCCATTTTAGCTAGAATTTCAGAAACTATGTACCAGTATACACTAGAATAGCAGACGTTAAAGTGACCCTTTGAACAAATGTTCTCCAGCAAGACACTTTTGAGAACTACTTAACTGTAACTACTAACAACTTACATGTAAAATGCGTTGGGTCTCAGCAGGTCTTTTAATGCTGTATTCTTTAAAAAGAAAATAAGTTTTGCCATTGTAAATCAGCTAAAGGGCAACATCTCTAATACACAAGAAACATACCTCAGTCTACCTAAAAAAAAAAAAAAGAAAATACATACCTTTTTTTTTTCCCTGCGGCTGGCTGGTAAGGGCATCTGAACCCCTGACCTTGGTATTATCAGCACCAAAAATATGGTTGTCTAACAGATGCTTTTCTCTTCTTGGCAGCAGTCTCAGCAAGGTTGGAATATTTTTAGTCAAAGCCTCCCCCACTGACTCTGCAGGCCCTACCAGAAGGCTTTTTCCCAGTACTGAGCCAGCCCTCATTCCCTTCACTGCATTCCAGACTATACTTCTCTGTGAGACTCAGCCAATAGATCCCAAAGTACTCAGGCAGCACCCAGCTGCAGAGGGACCCTGAGGGACTGCAGCCAGAGGCAAGGTTATTAGAAGGAGGCTGAATGAGTTTGGCCCTCTCTGGACCTCAGTATTCGCATCTGTAAGATGAGGAAGTGCCTGGAATCAGCCTGCAACTTTGTGCACAGGTTATATATGGTAAAATTGAACCCCCAGGTCTCTGGATACTCATCTTTGAAAACTATGGCATTTCACCCATTTTTAATCAACCCCAGCCCCTTCTTTAACCCTTCCCTTTCCCTTTTAACAGATACCTTTATCATTACCCTTCTCCATACCACCACTGTTCTCTCCCCGCCATCACTGTCCCAGGCTTCTCTCACTCTTCCCTTGCAGACAGATCCTTGCCCAGCTGGCTCACAGTTCCTGATAAGCCACAAGGAAACCAAATTCTAATAGCAACTCAGAGTCAGAATTCAGAAAGGTCATGGGGCATAACGGTGAGAAGGAATTTGTCCCTCTCCCTGTCCTGACAAAAGGCGTAATTGAAAGAGAAGTGTTAGACAGTGGCATTCCTCTTTGGTCTTTTCTCTCTTTCTGCACTCCTCTTCTACCTGTCAAGACTCCTAGGACTCCCTGGGTCCCCACAAGTGTGATGCCCTAAAGCCCACCAGCTCCCACTCAAGCCTGTCCCACATTTAGGTGCTGTGGCCTTCCTCTGAATCACTCCTTTCAGCCCCAGCCACCTGTGAGCCTAGACCAGTCCAGCATTCCTAAGCCTACTCCTCTAGTATCACTGCTTAGCAGCCATTTAGCACCTGACACCTACACTTGAGAAAAATTTATATTTTAAAGAGAAAGGATTCTGTAATCAAGTAACTCTAGTAAAGTTAAAAACATATCAAGGATCATAGCAGCACTATTCCTAATTGCTAAAAGCTGGAAACTACCCAAGTGCCTGCTAATAATAGAATGGATGAACAAATTGTGGTATATTCATACAATGGAATAGTATCCAGCAATGAGAACAAACAATCCACAATTACAGTCAACAATATGGATGAAATCCACAAAAGGTTGAGTAAAAGAGACCAGACAGAAATGAGTACATACTGAGTGATTCCATCTATATAGTACAAAAACAGGCAAAAATTATTTGTGGTGTTAGCAAGTCAGAATAGTAGCTACTCTTGGAGGGTTAATGACTAGAATGGAATATTGCTAATCTTCTGTTTCTCGATCTGGTGCTGGTTACACCTGTGAGTCCAATTGGTACTAATTCTTAAGCTTTTCAATTATGATGAGTACCTCTCTATACATATATCATACTTCAATAAAAAGTTACTAAAGTATCAGTGAGTACAAGAGGAAATTATGTAAGCTCTTTCTATTTTTCATAGTTTCTATTTCTGAACCCATGTATTTTCTGAAAGGTCCCACTTTCTTCCTTTTAACAATATTAATAATGGCAAAGGCACTCGGTGCCAGTGAGGAAGGGGTAGGCCTTTATGGGGGGTGAGAATGGAAAGGAAAGCATATTCCTAGAGGCAGGCCTGGGATGGAGCCGGGTGATAAGTGGACCTTGCAGGTCTCTGAAGGTCGAGCGAGTGTCCTGTGTTCCTCCGACCTCCTCTTTCCCCAGGTCTTCTCATTCGCAACTGCACCATCACTGCCAATGCCGAGTGTGCCTGCCCCAATGGCTGGCAATGCAGGGACAAGGAATGTACTGACTGTGATCTTCCTCCAAGCCCCCTGCTGACCACTCATCCATCTCAGGCCCCAGGCCCACACCCACCACCCATCCACTTACCTTATGCTGAAAGTAAGTTCCAGGCAACTTTGTATCCAATCACTTGGGGTAGTGGTGACACATCAACCAGCACTCCCCACTACTGTGTCTGCCTCCCCATCTCCTCCAGCACCTTTAGGTCTCCAGACCATAGGTGCCCTATGGGGTTCCCTGCAGCTATTCATTCTGTCTCTGTCTTTCCAGAGATACCAGAGGCCAGGACAGTCAGGCACGTGCAGACTCTGACTGACTTCAGGCAGCTGTCTGCTTCAAGTCTCTCTACCCACTGGCCACGTGAGTTTTCTCCCTAATCCCCCACCCAGAGAGAATACAAACAGGAGAGGCCAGGAGGGAAAAGCAGAGTCTAGTGATTACGAGAGGACTTGGTGGGCATGGGGGTAGGGGTAAAGCATATGGGGGAAAGGAGAGAGGAAGGGGTGACAGGAGGGCTGGGCTGAGGGAGTCAAGGGTTAGACCCTTCCCCCAAATCCCTGTGTGGCCCCTGCCTATCACAGCCCAAAGATCCCTGTACAACTCAGATTGTATCCGCATCTTTGTGATCCTTTCCGGAATGTTTCTTGCTTTCACCCTGGGCGGAGCCCTGTTCCTCCATCAACAAAGAAAACACGGATCAAGTAAGAACAGAGTACAGATCTCCAGTCCTGTCCCTCCACCATACCCCACCATCTCAGCCCTGCTGCCCTGCCTGGAACCTCACTGCAATCCCCCTAGCTCCATCTTTACCAACCCTAATTCCTGCTCTTCTCTCCTCTTAGCTGGCACCTCCTGACAGCCCTCCCCCATGCTTACCCTCCTTTGCTTATCTTTCTTCCTTCACTCCCTCCTCCAGTTGCTGGCCAAGACTTATCTGATTCTCCTTCTGCAGACAAAGGAGAAAATCCAGTGGAGGCTGCAGAGCCTTGTCCCTACAGCTGCCCCAGGGAGGAGGAGGGCAGTGCCATCCCCATCCAGGAGGATTACCGAAAACCAGAGCCGGCTTTCTGCCCCTGAGCCAGCGCTGGGGAGAGCAGAGGGGGTCATCACTGCAATAAAGCCTTAGCATCCTTTCCACCCACTGGCCATCCAGAGAGCAAGACCTGGCACTCCAGCTTCAGTACTATCAGGACTCTTTCCTGTGTTCAGACCTGACAAAGTGCCTTTTCAATACTGGCAGTGACAAGGACAGAAGCAGGAGCCTCAGGGGTGTACTGGCCCAGACCCTTCACCCTGTGCTGCAGGAGGGTAGGCTGGGCTCCAGTTGTAAAACACACTTCCGTCTATGAAAGCCCCACATGCCATATCACGACCTACAAAATCTGCAGAATAAAGTGACAGACTATCACACTGTAGCTTCCAGCTTTCACTTTGAAATTCCAATCTCACAACCGAGGCCACTACCAGCCTCATCTCTCAGATCAAGGATCTGAGGGAGGAGCTTTCTCCAGTGCAGATGATTCGGGTGGTGTGGCACCAGCAGAAAATGAGGCAAGGTCCCAGGTTACTGGGGATGCTGCTTCTGGCTCCAGTCTCCCCCTTGTCTATCCTCTCCCCTTCCCATAGTTATAGCTCCACTTTCTTGGGGCTGGTGGGGAGCACAAATGCGCAGTGAAGTTGGGTCTTGAGATCACCTCGGGATTTGGGGCGGGGGGTGGAGAGAAAGGAGAACAGTGAGCAGGACTCTGGCAGCTGCTACAAATGGTTTCACCCAGAGGCAAAGGCAGCCACAGTGACACTTCCTCTAAGTGAAAGTGAAAGAGAAGTTGCTGCGGAGCAGAGAGAACAGAAAAGAAACACATAGGCGGCTGGCAAGCACGGGATGCTTGGAGAGTCCCCTCTTCTCCAGCTAGGGCCTCACAAGCGGGGTGGGATTGGGGGAAGGGCAGTGGGCGAGGAGGGGCCTGGGAAGAGTCTCCATGGGCGCAGAGGAGGGCTGGTGCCTGCTGCTGTGCCTGGCTCTGTCTGGAGCAGCAGAAACTGGTGAGTCGGGAAGAACTGGCTGGGGGGAAGCTCCAGTAGCCACCTTCCCCGAGATTCCAGAAGGGCAAAGGGCCAGGGATGGCTTCCAATCACCTTTTAAACCCAACAGGTGGAAGGCTCAGCAGCTGGCAAAGTAACTGTGCGTGGGGACAGAGGCTGAGAGCTCTGTAGGGAAAAGGCTAAATCAAGAAGAGGGACCTCCTCTGTGGATTTGGTGGGGAGAGGGCAGGAGGGAAAAGCCCCACTGTCCTACCGGAGAGGGCACTGGCCTGGGAGCTCGCACTTTCCAGCTAGGAAACCACTTGGGAGGTATCCCCTGAGGTGGGGGAGGGGAAGGCTACAGGTAATGGCAGAGAGCTGAGTGGACTCCATGGGCTGGCTGGGAAATTCGAGAAAATGGCTGCCATTATCCCTACCAGCAGCACATGTCCAGTCTTCTCTCCCCATGGAAATATTTGCTCATTTATTTGTTTTTGCTGAGAATTCCTTTGACTGAAGAGAAAGTGTTTCAGTCAATAATTGGAAATAAGAATAAAAGCATGAACTCCTCTGGGCAAGGCAAACCCAGGACTTTTAAATAATTCACGCCAAAAAGTATTTGCCTGGAGTAGCAGGTACCTCCCCAAAAAGCTGGTTTGGGGAATGACCAGAGAATAGATGGACACAGAGACAGTTATCATCTTGGAAGATACCTTTTAACCCTTGATGACTCCATGGTTGGGGGCTGGGGAGTGGGAAGCAAGTATGGAGAACGCTTCTGTGGCAGGAGGGTGCTCACCCCAGCCTTCCCCCCGCAGAGCCCCGTGCAGCAGAAAGACAGTGGCGGGCAGTGGACGTGGTCTTAGATTGCTTCTTGGTGAAGGAAGGTGGGCACCGTGGAGCTTTTGACAGTAATGGGAACAGGGAGAAGGCCTTGCTTGTGCTGAGGCAGGTGCCAGTGCTGGATGATGGCTCCCTGGAAGGCTTCACTGATTTCCAAGGGAACACATTAACCAAAGATGACCCACCTGTTATCTTCGAGGCCTCAGGTAAAAGCCTTCCACCCTGAGTCCTTAGTCCTTCTGGGCTCCCTCCACTGGGATAGTCCAGTCCCAGATTACACCCACCCACACCTGCTTCCCATCAGCCCTGGTGTTCCCAATCTAATTCGACCTCTGTGTACCACCCCTCTCCCCCAGTGGACCTGGTACAGATTCCCCAGGCCGAGGCCTTGCTGCATGCTGACTGCAACGGGAAGGAGGTAACCTGTGAGATCTCCCGCTATTTTCTCCAGGCCAGACAAGAGGCCACTGTTGAGACGGCAGCTTGGTTCATCATCATCGTGCAGGTACCTGGAGGGGGACCTAGCGTCTCCATGGTGATGAAGACTCTCGGGGATGTTGAGAATGGGGCTGTCTGGCACCCCACACTGAACCTGCCCCTGAGCCACCAGGGGACTGTGCAGACTGCAGGTGAGAAAATGAAAAGGAAGTAGCAGAAGGAAGTTTGTTTGTTTGCTTGTTTTTAAGTGGTAACAGATGGAGGAATAGAAGGAGAAGAGGAGGTACAAGTCCACCTCCATCCACTAAATCAGTCATCTCAGGGTACCTACCCCCTAGGCCTTGGTCCTTTCTTCCTAAAAACTCCTGAGTCCAGAAGAGGAGAGGCTCCTACCTAAGAGTCCGAACACAAAGACAACGTAGTATTATCTCCAAAATAGAGATAATTTTCCTCTCACCAGGTTGCTGTAATGATTTTTTTTTTTTTTGTCTTTTTACGTGACCGGCAACAGATCGCAACCCTCAGTGTCGCGCCCGTACCGGACCGGCAACGGGATCGCAACCCTCGGTGCTGCGCCCGCACCTCGCTCAGCCAGTGAGCGGCCGGTCTGTACGTGGGATCCGAACCCTCGGCGGGAGCGCCGCCGCACTCCCACGCGGCGCACTGCAGCAGAGCGCCACCGGGCCGGCCCTGCTGTAACGATTAATAAGACACGTGATGCTATTCTTTTCATGTATACTGTCCATTGTAGTCTTATTGAGCCAAGCACCAGTTTTCTCCCAGTGAAAAGCTAGCCAGGTCTGGTGCTTCAAGATAGTTAGAGCTTCAGGGCTGGCCAGTTAGCGCAGTTGGTTGGAGCACAGCCTTGTCATACTAAAGTCAAGGGTTTAGATCCCCAGACCGGCCAGCCTTAAAAAAAAAAAAAAAAAAGATAATTAAAACTAAGCACAGGGATGCAGAATTTGTTCATTGTCTCTTATTAGTAAAACCAGTCCTTGCCTCTTTAACTCAGCACAACCCAGAAGGAAATTGAGAACATGACGACAGGTTTTTCCAGAGTGCATTTAATCCCATATTTTGCCTCCAAGAAGAGGCAACCAAGTCCAGAGTAGGAGGCTACCCTCCCATCCTTGGAAAGCCCCAGGACACTCTAACCTTTTTGTGGTCCAACCTAAATTTATCCTGCCACATCAGAAAACGAGGGCCCTCCCCATACCAGCCAGCTGCCAATAATAATGATAATAATAATATAAATAAATAAATAAATAAAAAATCCTTGTACCAGGAAAAGAAAGAAAAGAGGGGACCTCACATCTATCCAGTGTCTACCACAGTTCTGGTATTTCCCCCTTTTCATTTTGGGATTTTTTTTTTCAAACCTACAAAAGAAAGAATAATAATATAATGAATACCTTTGACTAGATTCACCAATTGTTATCATTTTGCCACATTCTCTCCCCTGCCACACACATATTTTCCCCCTGAACTATTGAGAATAAGTTGCAGATATCACATTACTTCACTCGCAAATGCTCCCATGTATAGCATGTGTTCGTTTATAGTGGAAGACAAGGACATTCTCCCTCAAAATCACAAAACACCACCTCAGAAGCAAACCAAGCAGGGGGAGCAGTGTACCCATGGTGCAGGCAGTAAGGGGGTGTATTGTGTAAGAATGGCAAACAATAATAACGTCAACTAAAAGTCAGACAGCATTCTCTTCTCACCATCACCCCACACCAGCAAAAAAAACCTCGTTTTCTGAACGTTAGTGAGAAAATACTCCCCCTGCCAGAGCATACCATTTCTCTCTCCCCCCACCACTGCTTGCTATGCCACTGATCATCACACCCAAGACATTTTAATACAACTCAAATGACATGACTTAAAAAGAAAAAGAGATATTTTTAAATTGATACAATAATACACTCAAGGGCCGGCCCGTGGCTCACTCGGGAGAGTGTGGCTGATAATACCAAGGCCACGGGTTCGGATCCTATATAGGGATGGCCGGTTAGCTCACGTGGGAGAGTGTGGTGCTGACAACACCAAGTCAAGGGTTAAGATCCCCTTAATGGTCATCTTTAAAAAAAAAATAAATAAATAATAATAATACACTCAAATATAAAGTCCAAATTCAAATTTATCCAGTTGTCCTAATAATGTTCTTTACAGCTTTTTTTTCTAAGTCCAGGATTCAAACAAGGACCATGCATTGTATTTGGTTGTGTTGTCCTTTTCCTTTAATCTAGAACAGTCATTCGCAGCACTGACATTTTTGAGGAGTACAGCAAGCTGTCTTGTAGAGTATCCTACCATTTGGATTTGTCTGATTGTTTTCTTCATTATTAGATTTAGGCTGAGCATGTTTGGCACAAATACTACTACTGTGTGCTTCCTAAACTCATTTCTATTTAGTCTTCACAGCAGCCTTGCTTAAGCATATGAAGCTTGGCAACATTAAGTGACCTGTCAAAAGATACAGAGCTAGCAAGCGGAAGAACCGGTATTCCAAAGCTTTTTCTGCTCTGTAGTATTTCCTGCCTGAGAGTCAACAGTAACCCATAATCTTGCATGTGTATTTTTCTGGTGAGCAATCCATAGTTTTCCAAGGAGAAAGTGACCCCCAAAATGGTTAATGCCACACTGCCTTTCCAGAGACCCGTTTCTTTGTGGTTCCATCTATGGGAAATGAGCTCAACTGGCTTCGTTGTCCAGGGGAGGAAGAAGGGGCAGGTGTATGCCCACAGCATGCCCACAGCTCAGATCAGGTGACCTCAAGGAGGAAGTCGTCCACAGATTACTAATCCCTCTATTTCTCTCCACAGTGGAATTCCAGGTAACAACACAGACCCAATCCCTGAATTTCCTTCTGGGGTCCTCAGCCTCCCTGCACTGTGGCTTCTCCATGGCACCAGGCTTGGACCTCATCAGTGTGGAGTGGCGGCTGCAGCATAAGGGCAGTGGCCAGCCAGTGTACAGCTGGAACACAGGGCAGGGGCAGGCCAAGCGGAAGGGTGCCACCCTGGAGCCTGAGCAGCTACACGTGGCTGGAGACGCCTCTCTCACCCTACCTAGCCTCACTCTACAGGACGAGGGGGCCTACATTTGCCAGGTCACCACCTCTCTGTTCCAAGCTCAACAGATCATCCAGCTCAACATCCAAGGTGAGACAAGGTCTCAGTTATTCTGCAGAGAGGGGAGGGATGTGCCCATTGGGAGTGCTTTGCAGATTGGGATCCAAACACAAGGCAATTTCCTGAGAGGCATCCAAGGAGAACAGATGGCATCAGATAAGGTGTCCCATTGGACTCCAAGAGAATTCCATCAATAAGTTTTCAGCCCAGGATCCTACTGCCCTGCCTTGGCTGGCTATCTCCACTCACCCCAGTCCTTTTGGACCTCATGCTAAGAAGGATCAATGGCAAACCAAGGAGTCAGGGGTGGGGTGGGAGCGGTTCTGACCAGCAGGAATATTTTATCACTGATATCCTTTAGCATCACTAGCTTATAGTGATAATAAGTCAATCCTTAGTTGGAAAAGTAATAGTATGGCCTGCATCCAAATGGACCCCTCACTCCTTGGTACACCACTGAGGAGGAAGCCTTAGCCTCCACAACCTACTCTCACTCTCAGCAGGAAAAGAAGCCTTCAGGCTCCTCTGCTGTCCTCAGGGTTCAACTGAAACCCTCCGGAATCTTTTTCTTCATCCTTTCTCCAGCTTCCCCCAAAGTACAGCTGATCTTGGTGAACAAAGCTCAGCCACCCACCCTCACCTGCAACATTGCTGGCTATTATCCTCTGGACGTGGCGGTGACATGGACCCGAGAGGAGCTGGGCATGGCCCCAGTCCAAGTCTCTGGTGCCTCCTTTTCCAGCCTCAGGCAAAGCATGGCCGGTACCTACAGCATCTCCTCCTCCCTGACAGCAGAACCTGGCCCTGCAGGTGCCACTTACACCTGCCAGGTCACCCACATCTCCCTGAAGGAGCCCCTGATGGCCACCAGCTGGGTTGTCCCACCAGGTACTAGGAGTGTCTCCCTTTCCCCACCTCCACACTTGGGCTCATGGCTTTCCTACCCCCAGCTCATCTTTAGCCTTGTTCTGCTGCCCAGATGCTTTGTTCTCAGTCCCAGCTTCACACTCCGGCCTCTGCTCCTGGCTTTGTCTTTTCCAAGGTAATAGCCTCTACCACACATCCCAAGACCTCCTTATATCCCAGCATCCAGGGTACCAGGCAATGTGGTTAGGGCTGGAGGTCTAGGTTGAATAATTCCTGATCCTGCCCTCCAGGAGCTTAGTCCAGCTGGGGAGACAAGACTAGGTAGGCAAGGAAAATGACGTGGAGGAGACATTTGAGCTGCACTAACTTACAGGGAAGAGAACACTCGAGACGGAAGGAATGGCATGTGTGAAGGCCAAATTACAAAACAGCCTAAAGAGAATCTGGGGAACTGCAAGTAATTCTGCACAGTTACGGCCAAGGGCATATGGGATAAAGGGGAGTGGCTCTGAAGCTCCAGAGGTAATTACATTTATTGAGCATTTACATGATCAAGCACTGTATAAGCACTGAAATGTACGATCTCATGTATTACAACTCCCATTTTATAGATGAGTAAACTGGCACTAGGAGATGTTAAGTAATTTGCCCAAGCCACTTACCAATACATGGTAAAAGAGAAAATGTGAAAAACAGGCAGTCCAATTGCCCTCTCAGGCTTAAACCCTGCTGATAGGTATAGTTCAAGCTGGAACTTCATCCTGAAAACCACAGAATGTTGTTGAAAGGTTTTAAACAGGAAAGGGACAGGAAAGAATCTGGACCTCAAAATGCAAACACCCAGGAGCACGCACTGGGCCTTATTTCGTTACTCACTAGACTGTGAGCTTCCCAAAAACAGGGGTTTTGTCTCAGCTCACATCATTCCTCAGCTATTTAGAAAATCCCAGTTTAACTGTCAACAACTAATCTAACCTAAATCTCTTTTGCAACGCAATTTTTAAAATGTTGTCCTGAGGTGGGAAGAAGTAGAGGATTGTGTGTGTAGAATATCCGACCACTCTGAACAAGCACAGATGCTGTTGTGTGCCAGCTTCCTGGCTCCTCCACCAAGGGCTCACAGATACACATAACTTTGCCCCACCTCCCTCGAGTGGACACTGGGGTGAGGCCTCAGCTGATGATTCCTGCCCACAGTGACTCCTGCCCACATTGCTCTCACCCACAGGGCAGAGAACGGCCTTTGGAGTCATCTTTGCCAGCAGCCTCTTCCTTCTTGCACTGTTGTTCCTGGGGCTTCAGAGATGGTAAGGTAAGAGCCTGGCTGCCCTTGGATCTGGGCCCTGACCCATGTCACCTGTAGATCAACTCACTCTAACCAACTCCCCACCCAGACTAGGGTTGAAGCCCAGATGGCCAGAGTTCCAGCCAGCCTACACCCCCACCACACCCCCCTGCTTTTGGGTTGACCCCAAGTGAGACCAATCTTGTTCCCTCTTGTTTTCTCCTAGATACCTCACCAAGGTCTGCCAAGACTCTGAGGCACTCTGGATAGCCACCCTCCCACCTCAGAGTAAAAAATAGTAGTGCCATTTTCCCAGAAGGACTCTAAGCCTAAGCATGGAGCTGAGAAAGGCATGTAGTGGCACCAGGTTACAGGGCCCTGGCCCTGGCCCAGGCTCTGGCCTGCACAGGTGGGTGGAGGTTAACATTTGAGGTGAGCTGGTAGGAAAATATAGAGAAAACAGACAACGAGGCAAAGTTGTGGGGACTGGATCACCACTCACAGACTCTGAACTGTCAAAATAAAAGCCCCTGTGTCCACTGAGACAAAGTTTTTCCATTTTCCTGAAAATAAATGTGTAAATCTAAATTTTACCCAGTAACCATATGGTTCTGTATAAAACAAACACACAAACAAAAACACAGAAGAACAAACAAAACAAACAAAAAACTTCCCTTGGATTGAGTTATTGTTACAATTATTATTGGCACTCAATCAAAAAAATCACAGATTTTAATGAATAGTTTATATAAAAGAAAAAAATCACTGAAAATGAATCTCACAGTCTTTTTTTTTATTTTTTTTTCCTTTTTGTCTTTTTTCGTGTCTGGCAATGGATCGCAACCCTCAGTGTCGCGCCCGTACCAGACCGGGACCGGCAACGGGATCACAACCCTCGGTGTTGCGCCCGCACCTCGCTCAGCCAGTGAGCGGCCGGTCTGTATGTGGGATCCGAACCCTCGGCAGGAGCACCACCGTGCTCCCAAGCGGCGCACTGTAGCAGTGCGCCACCGGGCTGGCCCCCATTTTCCTGTCTTTCTCCATGCTGGTCCCAACTGAGCCCTGTCCCCAAGCCTGGCTGCTCCAACTTGCAAAGAGTTTGGGAAGGTGTGAAACTAAAGCTCTCAGAGGCACCTCAGGCTCCATCCCAGTTGCTCTGTGTAATCCTGAGCTGCAGTGAAGGTTCTGCTCCTTTGGATAGTTGCTGGGAATTTCAGGATACCTACAAAGTTACTCCCTCAGCTGCAAGGGAGAGATTTCTCCTTTTACTCATTTCTAAAACATGTCTGGTCAAAACAGTGGAACTCAACCTAAGAAAACTGTACATGAGGATGATGGAGAAAAGGGGGTATTAACTGGAAGCCTCAACTGTGCACGTCCCTTGGGACAGGACAGGCAGGCTGAGGACCTAGGGAGAGGGGAGAGAGAAGAGGGCTGGGAAAACCTGCAGTTGTTTGTCAGTGTGAAGTGCTCACTCAACTTCCTGTCATCACTTCCTCTCACTAGCACCTAAAAGAGTTGGGCTGCTTCAGCTGTGAACGCTGAGAGCGGAGACCACTTCCTCTATGGACACACAGATCTTTCATTTCCGTGGAGACCCCACAGCACATATAAGTCAGCCCTTCCAGCCTCAGGAAACATGAGACCACAGGAAGAAACAGCATTCCCCTCCTCCCCCTCCCCAGTTACTCCAACCCAAACAATAACCAAGTCAGTTTAGTGGTAGGAATTTGTATTTTTTGCCTTTGTTCAGAATACATGAAATTGGTAAATATGCCACATGCCTTTGGTGGAAGCACAACTGTTACTAGTCTGTACAAGTATGAGATTGGGGTTAGGAAAAAAGACAAACAGGTGATGGCAGACACACAGTGGGATCCCCACATCATCTCATGGCAAACCGAACAAGGGGATGTGGGAAGCTCGGCTTCGTTTGACTGTGAAGTCCAGGGGTTTAGCTGCATATCTGCTCATGCACATGGGTGGTGGGAGGGAAGAGGGATAGCAGAGACACAGAAGAGGGTACAGGGTGCGGTGAGAAAGGAAGTAGAAGGGCTAACACCCCCAAAATAACAAAGCCAACTACATCTGATGAGCCTCAGAGGGAGAGAAACCCAGGAAATAACTACCGTGATAGGGCTGGGTGGGCCAAAAGGGCAGATTTGCTTCAGGCTTGGGACACATCGAGGACAGTGGTGGTTCTTCTCCAGCAGTGACCCCCTGCATTAGGCAAGGAGGAGCCCAGAGGAGAGTGGAGACCTTCGAGAGGGACCGTTGGGAGGGTACACTGACTGCTTTCTTCCAGCTCTTCAGTCCTGCCCTAAGTCAGGACGAAGGAAATATGGGAAACAGAGGCAAGGGGAAAGGAAGGATGGTTTTGCACAATGAAATGCTGCTGCATGGAAAGCGGGTATCCAGGCCCAGCCCAGCGTGGTCTCAGCCTCTTTCTGCTTGTGGACTGAAGGACAGAAGGAATAAAGGGCATGGGTATTCTATTCCCCCTTCTGTTTCCAGCCTGCTCTCCTCCCCTCACACCTGGGTTTATCCCTGTTACGTCCTATCCTGAGGCTCAGCAACACCCCTCAAGATAGGCTGAGCAGCTCCATCCTCACGTTCCACCATCTGTATGCACAAACCATGCAAGAGGAAGAAAAGAAAGGAGGCAAAGTAGGATTCAGATGGGTATGGATGAGTCAGAAGGCGAACACACTGCAGGAAGAACGGAGAGGTGGCTCTAGATGAGAGGGCCCCATGACAGTAGAGCAATACACAAGCACACCTGTCACAAACTGGCACCCCTTCCACCCCAAGATTGAGCTGGTGGATCTACTGGACTTCTCTAACTCCACAGGATCAGCCAGGCCTTGGAAAGGACCTCTTGCCTCATCCCTGTTTCTGTCAAGTACACAAGAGGGGTGGGGTGGGGAGATGAGGAGGGCTTGGAGTAAAGGACTCCATGGGAGACCAAAAATCCTCACTTCTAACACTCTCACATTCCTTTATGAACAGGAAGGGAGGAATGGGACCCTCCTTAATGAGAGGACAAGTGGCTTCCTCTGAGTGTGTTATTTTCAAGTTAGGCCCTTGACTGACTGTTTCTCTATGACTAACAGGAATTTTCTCTTTATCTATGCCAACAATTATAATCAACTGAGAATTCCAGACTTTGGCTAAATGAAACTGTTTGGTATCCTCATGAAAAATACAGAATGCTGCAGAAAATGTGAAGAAGAGACAGCTCCTTCCAGTTAGAAGCATATGGGACTATTTCTAGGAAGGAAAGGAGAGTCCCAGTTATTTTCACAAGTGTTTGTTCTCCAGACCTATCGAGAACAAAGTAAAAGGTTACAAAAAGGCTATAAGATCCACAAAGACAGAAAATCTTTGACTAGCAGATTAGAGATAATTGCAAAAAACAGGTTTTACTTTCCAAAAGAGTATGGCACCAGGACCAAGTTGGACTTTGGGCCGACCCCCAGGACCCTCTTTGGGCCTGGAATAGGAGACGAGTTCCATGTGACCAGTGCTGAGTGAGCCACCACTTTCCCGACTGTTCAGATTCCTCCTGCCATGGACACCTTCTTCTCCCCCAATCTCGGCAGCTTCTTGGGTACTTCCCCTCATCCACCTCCCTGCCCCTTCCCCTGGCCTCCAACTTTTTTGGGGGGAACTTGACAGTACATAAGGAGGTGGGTAGGGAGGAGGCGCCAGCCATCGCTCTTCAGTTAGTGACATCAAGACTGTGCCACAAGCAGCATTTCTAGTGTTGAGGGAGATAGTGCATATGAATGCAACAAAAAAGGAGGAATGAATGATGGAGAAGCCTGGGCGGGGATGGAGGAAGGCAGGTGTGAAAGTTTGTTGAAAGAGCAAACAGAAGGAGAAGGACATGAGTTTGGATGACAACGGAGAACAGGGAAGGGGTGGCACATTCTCAAGTAAAAAAGTAGACTGGACACAGGAATCAGGAAGTCCCAGATGGAAAAGAGAAAGAGACAGGAGAAAACAAGAGGGCAAATTACATCAAGTTACTAGACATTCGGGTCTTTTAGTTGTAGGTGCCCCATCCCCATGGTCTCCCTCTCACCCCAGCCAGTGACAATCAGCATAGCCTCACTTCCTCAGAACAGGAGGGGCCATCTCTCTGCAATACCTTGCCGGGGGAAGGCTTGTCCATCAAGGAAGTCCCCTATTCTTCCCCTTCCTCCCCCCAAACCAGGTGATAATCCCACAGCAGCGGTCTTCATACCTCAGTCAGAGCAGCCCCACTCCCCAGGCAGGCAGGCAGGCAGGCAGGGCTGGGAGAAGACTCCAGGACCTTCCCACCTCTTCACCCCATCAGCAACCTCAGTGATACTTACTTACAATAACTACCACGATGATGGCACAGATAGCTCCCAGCATGATCATCATCTAAGGAGACACAGGCAAAAAATGAGCCCTTGGATTTAGGAAAGGAAAGGAGTCGGGACTAGAGATGTGGGAACAGAACTTCCTCCATCCTTGGGACAGTATAAGAAACCACACATCACCCAAGAGACCTGCAGGCCTCTCAGGGAGCCCCCAACCTTCTGCTTCCCATAGGGCCACAACCACAGCACCACATCTATAGCTTTTCAGAAACATCATAGGACCTGTAGCTGTCTCCTTTTCATTTAGTTCCTGTTGCCTGGGCACTTTAAAAGGAATTCCAATGAGGGCCGTCCTGTGGCTCACTTGGGAGAGTGTGCTACTGATAACACCAGGGCCACAGGTCAGACCCCTATATAGGGATGGCCGGTTGGCTCACTTCAGAGAGAGTGGTGCTGACAACACCAAGTCAAGGGTTAAGATCCCCTTACCTGTCATCTTTTTTAAAAAAAAGGAATTCCAATGGAAGTGCAGACTTTGGATCTTTAGTCAATTGGTTCGGTTTTCATTCTGAAGTGTTCAGCTAATTCCCAAAATTTGCAAGTGTTTAAAAACATATATACTCAAGCTGCTGTGTTGATGTTGGGTGTGTCTGAGGAAGGGCCAGGTGAGAAATTTTGCAGGAGACTCCTTTAAGGAAAAGCTACTTAACTAAACCATTCCAAACTCCTTGGGTATACGGTTCTGAATACTCTGGCCTACCCTGGTGGCCAACTCATGGTAATGCATCTCAACAAGGAGGCTTTCCAGATTTCCTCCCCAAAGTTGTGAAGGGCAGGAATTCTGCACCATTAGAGGGAAGAAATGTAGAAGCTGAAGGTTTTCTTGCCTTCTACGAGTGGAGGCCCATGAAAAGAAAGGGGAGAGGACAATAAAATTCACCTTGCAGTTTTTCCACCAATACTTCCTCTTTAGCTTGGCAGCACTGCTCTCAAATTGTGATGCTCCCGCCTGCAAGGCATCAGCTCGGTCATCCAGCTCTGACAGCTTCTGGTCCCTCTCTAGGACCTTGTCCACATTCACACGCATAATGTCCACCACCTGAGAGGGGGGCAGAAACAAAGCTGCTAAACTCCCCACTAGAGCCAGGGAAAAGAACAATGACCAGGGAATCACAAGTCTAGCCCTGTGTAAGTCTAAGAGATGCTCAGAGCCTTTAACTATCCCCCTTAAAAAGAGAAGAACAACATCAAGGTCAAGGGTTTGGATCCCCATAACAGCCAGCCACCAGAAAAAAAAAAAAAAGAAAAGAAAAGAAAGAAAGGGGCTGGCCCGTGGCTCACGTGGGAGAGCGTGGTGCTGACAACACCAAGTCAAGGGTTAAGATCCCCTTACCGGTCATTAAAAAAAAAAAAAGAAAGAAAGAAAGAAAGGAGAAAGGAGGAGAATAGACAAGATATTCCCTTCTGTTTCTAAACTTCTGTGATTTGGAAATTCTCAGAGAAACAGCTATCCACCCACCTCCTCCACTTGTGCCTGGGTTTGCTGTAGTCGTCTGTTACTGGTCATGTTAGGAGGAGGGCCGGGGGGACCCCCACCTGGGGCAGTCCCTTCTGTCCCTTCGGTGGGTGGCTGAGCTGGAGCAGACCTGTGCAGAGAAGTGGGCAAAGTACACAAAGTAACGAAGACAAGAAAAGAATCATGTGCATTCACACGCATACCACCAAAGCAATTATGATTAGGTTATAAGCAAATAGAAGGGATTCTAGCTCCTTGGCAATCCCAAGTAGGGAGATGTGGCATAGAGACAAGAGGCAAAAGATGAAAGATCCTGTAACAACATTTATGTGGGACATCCAGGGTGGCATCAAGAGATCTTGTTGGGGCTATCCTCTGACCCAAAGTCAAACACATTCTCTGCCACAATGGCTACGGGGGCAAATGTGCCCAACCTTGGCCTAAATGGCATTTGCCTAACTGACAAAAGCCATTCACATGAAGCAATCTTGAAAAACCCAATCCAGGATAGGAGAAATTCATAGAAAAGACTAAACCCTCAGGAAAAGGATAAGGATTCAACTGCAAAGCTTGAATATAAAAGAAAAAGGCAAGCTGACAGACTCCTTAAGGGCATCTAATTATTGGTTATGTTTCTCACAATGATTAGTATTTCAAGGCTGCTGTAAGGAAAACTTGGAGAGTCAGGACTGTTTGTTTGCTTTGTTTTGGGAAGAAAAAATGGGGGTTTCACTTAGAATCTGGGGCGCAAAGTAATTGCATTAGTTATGGAAACTGTTCCAAGAGCATAAATAAGAAACAAAAATACTGGAAACAGTTCTCAATGTACATGCATCATAGACATTCTGTCCTTTCCTTTTCTAGATTTGGCACAGAGTATCAGTAGACTCCCCTAGCTCCTTATGTCCCAAAGAGAAATCTTGGTTTGCACTACTATATACATGGAGACTGTTCTCTCTTTCCATACCACTCAAGGCTAAGGAATCCCTTAGCATTAGAAGAGAATAATCTAGTGTGGGGAATTAAGATAAACTCCTCTCCATGTCCCAGAACATGGAGGCTAAATTCACTTCCTAAAGAATTCCCAGAAGTCTAACGTAAGGCATGAGATTTTTCTCAGGCAAGGTAGAACCCACAGGCAGGAAATAGATCTCTCAAATTTGATGGAGAACAGAAATTACAATAACTCCTCAACAGAAGCAGAACCACACAAAACATACTTCACAGGAGCAGTCCAAGAGTAAATGCAGTAGAGATTAAACCATCACAAAGTCACCAAAAAGGAAATTCCTTGACTAATCACAATAGCACTAACACCCAGCCACTCCTCCTTAACTAAGAGAATTTCTTTCAGTCTAAAAAGATAGAGAATAACCCCTCAGAGAGGCTATCCTAGCAGATTACACCTCACTCAGCCCCATTTAAGGAACTGCTTTCACATTTCCCTCTAAGACACAAAGGAGGCAAAGGAAAGATACAAAGCCATGGGAGCCACAAGACTCGTGCTGCTACTTATCTAGCTAAGCAATCTAATTCTTGATTAAAGGCAGAAAATTCAATGGGTAGGCAGCAGCCAGTGTTGGAAGCAATCCAGGATGGTGGCACCAATGACAAGATTAAGGTCAGAGACCTCGTGATGCCCTGCTAGCCTCCACACTTTTTCCACTTCATTCCATTTGTCCCACACGGATGCTATCTGGAACCAGTCAGCTAAGAAGGATCCCCCTCCCCAAAATGAAGACAACTGGAATCCAGGGGCTTGTCTAAAATGCACAGAATATCACACGTTACCACTGCAGAAATCAAAGAGAAAAAGTGAAATGGCTATAAAGCATTTGGAGGAGTCCGTTTCACTTACTACTTGTTGGAAGTTGGAAACACTCAGCAGTAAAATATGTAGGGGTAATTATTTACTTGTGGTACCCTTATGTAACACATAAGGGTTCCAGGCTGTAATCACGAAGAAAAATCTCTATTAGACACACTGTGGTCCTGACAAGAAAGTACTTCATTTGCCTAACTATAATTATCCCTCAGGATCTTGGAAAGGGGGTGAAGTTGAAGATGGCTGGAGACTAAAGTGTGTATGTTGGGGGAAGGGGGAAATGCCCAGGTCTCCCTATTGCTCCTCCAAATAGTTGTCCAAGACTGAACAACAAGAAAACACTTCCTATACAGGTGGACTTGGTATGAAACAGCTGCGTGAGATCACATGTCACTACCCCTTGAGTCTTTCTGAACTGCTCACCTGGCACCAGAGACCTGGCGGATAAGTTTCTGGAGCTTTGCTCACTGCCATGAGGCGGGTACACAGCACACTTTGGGTAAAAGGCATACACAAACCCAGAGACGGCAAGGCAACCCAAGCTACTAACTAGCAGGTGCACTCATGACTGTCCCTCCAGAGGCTCTAAGTACAGATTCAGTCAGACGACAAGAAAGGGCCTCCGAGTCCCCTACCCAGCCGTCTCCATGCCCACCACCCTCTGCCCTCTCCGGGCTCCCCTATACTTGAGACCAGAATAAAGCGCCACGCAGAGGAGAGGGTGCAATGAATGCGGGACCCTTGCGCCCTGCCCGCCCGTGGGGTCCTAGCTGTGGCTGGTGTGGGAATGGGGTGCTGCCCTCCTCCCCGGGGGCCGCCCGCGGTGGTGGTTCCCCGCGTCGCCGCGGATGCTGCAATGCGCCATTTTCCGTCCCGCAGAGTCGGTCACTGGGGATTAGAGTTGGCACGGAGGCGCCGAGCCCGCCCCACACCAGAGTCAACTCACATTTTTCTGACAGAGGAAGTAGGGGCCCGTCTCCCCTCCGGAGGCTGCGACCAGGAACCCGGCGGGGGATGCTGCGGCTGAAGCGGACGGAACTACCGTGCCCCGCCTCTCGTTGACCACCCGGAGCCCTGACTGCGATGGCACTCACTGCAGCTGCCGAGCCTGCCCAGTCTTTATTAGCGCTGGCCACGCCTCCCGAAGAACGTTGACAACGCCGCGGCCCAATCCGCGCCCAGGACAGCCGCCGAGCCAGCGGCGAGGCCGGGCTAAGGTCCTATCCCGCCCCACCCCTGCAGCTTGGCCAATCACAGCTTTCCTCTCATCCCGACGCCGGAAGGGAGCGGTTGTCGTGAGGGCTTTTACTGACAGACACAACTATAGTTTGTTTACCTGTCTAGCTAAGGGACAGGGCGGGTGGAAATACCGGCCCGCCCTCTGAAGGCGCCTCCCCAACTTGAGTTAGGCCTTTTTGGTGCCCCTCAGCCAATCGCTGGGCAGTGCCTGAAGTTCGGGCCCGCCCACCGCCCCGCGCCGGCGGCTGCAGCCGTCGCGCAGCTCCCGACGCCTGGACTCTGGAGGCCCGCCGGGGTGGTTGGGCCGTGTGTGTTCCGAGCCGCGCGCGGAGCGGCCGGCGTTCCCCCGCCTCCCCGCCTCCCCGCCTCCCCGCCTCTGACGGACAGCTCCGAGGATGCGGAAGCCACAGGCAGAGCCGCAGGATCCCGGAGCCAGACACCCAGGGTTCCGTCCGACCAAAGCAAGAACGAAGGCGTCTTTCGTCCGTTTCTTTCGAACTGAACTTCCCCCCAACCCTGCTCCTTCTATCCTTCCAGGTGGGTTAAACATCTGCTTACTTGCCCAGAGCAGAAACCTGGAAGCCATCCTAGATTTCCTCCCCTTTCATCTTTACCACTCCAACAACAACTCACCGAGTCGATTTTTCCTTCTTAATATTTAAAGAATTCTCTCCCATTTTCTCACTATTATCTCTTTCCTGGACTCCATCAACTGTAAAACTTACCATTATTTTATGTTCCTCTAAGAAAAAAGGTTGCAAATAAGCTGACAGTGCTTACTTACCACTTAGAATTTCCATTTTACGTTTATTGAAAGTGTAGATTTATATACATACAGATTTTTGTCATATTTCGCTCTTGTGCATACATAATAGGGAAAATAGAAACGATTAACATGGTAACAGTATCCCCAAAACTTCACAAAGACTGATTCTTAAGGATTCATTTTTCTGAGTCTGTCTTAGATGTCCACGAATTTCCATACAATGTAGTCCTCTGTGCATGCCATCAAGGGCTATGGTGATGCAGTGTTTCCTAATAGTGTTCCTCTTCTGTCTCTGGAACTTTCTTCCATGCCTCTGACAACCATTTTTGTGACTTTTGATGCTCGTGACAAATACAGTATGACTGCTGTCTAATAGCTATAGTGAAACATCCCAATTGAGGAGATATTAAAACGTAAAAAACAAAAACAAAAAAGTGCCTCCTAGAATCAATGAAATATAAGATTCTGCTCTAGTCTTGTCCTCCCTCACATTCATCCTCTAAAAAATCACCAGTGTGATCTATCCAAATGTCAAAACCCTGCTTAATATCCTAAAACAAGTGCTATTAGGTACATCATGCATTCGTATGTGTTTATCAAATCCTCCTCCTGAAACCACATCAATACGACAATTTGTAAAAATTGAAAACAAATGACAAGCACTCAAAGACAGAAAGAATGGGAGGAAATGTTTCTGACACTGTGAATACCTAAGTATCCCTACCAACTCTACCCTGAAAAAATTTTTAAATCTTTTAAAAAATTAAGTATTTTTTAAAACTTTTTATTTTCAAATAATAATAGATTCACATGAGATGACAGAAAACAAAACAAAACAGGGAGGTTCCCCAGTACCCCTTACTGAGATCCCCCAATGGTAACATCTTGTGTTACTACAGTACAATATTTTAAGCCAGGAAACTGATATTTTTTATTTAGATTTTGCCAGTTTTAAATACACTCGTTTGTGTGTTCATGTTTGTGTGTGTGTGTAGTTTTATGCAATTTTATCACATGTAAATTTACGTAACCACCACCACAGTAAGGACACAGAACTATTACATTACCACAGGCTCTCATAAGCTATATCTACCCTACACCCCTCCCTAACCCTCACAACACTAATTTGTTCTCCATCTATATAACTTTATTTCAAGAGTGTCATGTAAATGTAATCATACAGTAAGTAATTTTTTGAGGTTGGCTTTTTTCCCCTCAGCATAATACCCTTGAGATCCATCCAAGTTATTGTGTGTTTCAGTAGTTTTCATTGGTGAATAGTATTCCATGGCATAGATATACCACAACATGTTTAACCATTTATCTGCTGATGGACATTTGGATGACTCCTGTCTGGGGCTTACAAATAAAGCTGCTATGAAATTTCATGTACAGGTTTTATGTGAACATAAATTTTCATTTCTCTAGGATAAATGCCCAAGAGTGCAATTTCTGGGAAGTAAGGTGATTGCATGTCTAGTTTTATAAGAAATTGCCAAACTGTTTTCCAGAGTGGCTATACTGTTTTAGATTCCCACCAGCAATGTATGAGGTATCCAGTTTCTCCACATCCTCACCAGAATTTGGTGTTATTATTTTTTATTTTAACCATTCTGATAGGAGTTTAATGATATATGATTGTGTTTTAGTTTTCATTTCCCTGATGGCCAATGATGTTGAACATCTTTTAAAGTGTTTATTTGCCATCTTTATATCCTCTTTATAAAAAAAAAAAGTACTTTGGGCCGGCCCAGTGGCGCACTGGAGAGTGCGCCGCTTGGGAGCGTGGCGGCGCTCCCGCCGAGGGTTCGGATCGCATGTGGAGACCGGTTCCCGCTCACTGGCTGAGCGCGGTGCGGGTGCAACACCAAGGGTTGCGATCCCGTTGCCGGTCCCCAGTACGGGCGTGACACCGAGGGTTGCGATCCCGTTACCGGTCAGTAAAAAAGACAAAAAGGAAAAAAAAAAAAAAGTACTTTGTTCGATATGTAGTTTCTCCCAGTCTGTCATTGTCTTTTAATCCTCTTAACATGATCTTTTGTAGAGTAAAATTTTTTAATATTGATACAGTTCAATTTAATAAGGTGTGAGGTTTAGGTCAGGGTTTGTTGTTGTTGGGGTTTTTTTTGAGGGGGGGAGGGTTCTTTTGCCTGTAATGTCCAATTGTTCCAGGACCATTTGTTGAAAAAGCAATCTTTTTACACTTTTGTCAAAAATCAGTTGGGCATATTTGTACAGATCTATTTCTGGGTTCTCTATTTAGTTCCATTGCTCTATGTGTTTATCCTTTCACCAATACCACACTGTCCTGATTACCATAGCTATATAATAAGCCTTAACATCAGATAGAGTCAATCCTCCCACTCTATTCTTCTTTTTCAAAATTGTTTTAACTATTCTATGTTCTTTGCCTAAAAGAGCATTTTAAAAATGTATTTATGAACTGGCAGTAAAGACTTTCTAAAGACCAAAAACTAAGTGAAAGCCGATACCCAGAGAAGTAGTTGAACACTCAGGGCACTGGCTAAAAAGTTGAATTTGAGCATGGTTGTCTCACTGAGTGCCACTGTAACATAAGAGACAAAGCCTGAGGCTTACCCAAGATTGGAAATCTAATAAAAGGCCCCTACCATAAAGGCAGAACCCAAAAAAACTATATCCTCATGTAAGAATGGATTAAACATATGCTAGCACCCAAAATGCCCCAGCGGACTGCATAGAAAATTGCCTGGAACCTAAGTGCCTACTACATCTCTTTTATTTTTTTCTTTTATGTATTTAGAGAATTTATAACCACAAGCTATGATTTTTCTGCCTGAATTCCTTGTTGATCCTAAAAATGGCAAGAATTTAAAGTGGTTTGGGGTTGACGGTACCATCAAGCACCTGGCAGAAGCTATGCAAATCATCTCCAGATGAACTCATCTTCAATCTAAGTGTTGGGAAATTTCCACAGATACAGTTCCAAGAAGAATAAATTGTGGCCCAAAATTGCAAACAAGTAAGAAACAAGATACCAAGAACAAGAACCAGTAGAGATAGAGACAGGAAAATTAGAAAATTAAGCCAAGTAGTCCAATGTCTGATTAATAGGGGTTCTAAAAAGAGAAAACAGGGTATATGAGAGAGAGGGAACTCTGCCCAGATGCAGGCAAGAAACAGAGCACACACAAAGTCCTTAGGCAGGAGCCAAGGACAGCATCCCCTGCCAGGAAATAGGCAAGAAGCGTGTCGAAAACCTTTTCCTCATAGGCAGCCCTCCGTGGCTGTGGCAAAAGCCGCTCAATGCCACAGCAGTAGCCACAGTTGCTGTGCAGGCAACCGGCCAGACACCTGAATGCAGTGACACAAGGAGAGTCACCAGCGGAGACCAGAAAAAGAAGATGTCTGTCTCCTCAAAGCCCACTCCAGTGTAATAGGAGAAGCAGCTGCTCTACCATGCCCCTGCTTATTTCTGATTTTAGTAATTTCTGTCTTCTCTCTTTTTTTCTTGGTCAGTCTAGATAAAGGTTTGCAAATTTTGTTGATCTTTTTAAAGAATAATTTTTAAAAAGACTATTAAGCAGCTACGGAACACCATTGATGTAAATATTTTAATCAAACATTAACTTTACATAATTCTTTTAGGGTATAATAATCTTCATATATATTGTGTAACTTGTTAAATATGTAACTATCATTAATTTTCTTTGACAGGCTTTGTTGTAGGAGATTGTAGTCAAGCTCAAAACTCATTTCTCAATTAAAAAAAAAAAATGAGAGCACAGGAGAGAAAGTGTGTGTGTGAAATTGATTATAAAAGAAGTACAAGATTTTCCTGAATTGAAAGAGCCTTTCCAAATTAAATAGTGTGCTATTTATCTGGCACAATAAAGGAAAAAGAATCACATTAAGACACATATAAAAAAGAAAAGGCAATTATTAACTTAAGGAAAAACAAAAAGTTGTGTGAGAAATAGAAGTTACCTCATATTTATGTCAATTGATTTTTTACAAGGGTGCCAAGACCGTTCAATGGGGAAAGGATAGTCTTTCCAACAGATAGTACTGGGACAACTGAATATCCACAAGAAAAAGAATGAAGTTGGACCCCTATCTCACACCATA